AAGAGAGGAGAGAGAAGAAGAGGAGAGAAAGAGAGGAAAGAAAGAGAAGAGAGAGAAAGAGGAGAGAGAGAAAGAGGAGAGAAAGAGAGGAGAGAAAGGAGAGAGAAAGAGAGGGGAAGAAGAGAAGGACAGAGAGAGGGGTGAAAGAGAGAGAGAGAAAGAGGAGAGAAAAAGAGGAGAGAAAGACACACACACACACACACACACACACACACACAGAGGTGGGGCTCCCTGTTTTTGCTTTCTTCTACAAATAGCCCTCAACTTACGTCTACAATTGTATTCAAAATGTATGTGGCTAAGCAAGGTAGTTTTTAAGTGAGTCATGTCCCGTTTTAGGACTTTATTTTGCCGTGGTGGTTAAGAAAATCACACCAGTTGTTAAGTGGATCATGCAGTCCTTAAATGAAGCTGGCTTCCCCTGTTGACTGTGCTTGTCGGAAACCGGCTGAGGAGGTCACAAATTGGGATCACGTGATCCTGGGACCCTGCGATCCTTGCCAAGCCCCCAAAGGGTGATCCTGTGACTCAGAGGTGGGATTCAGCCGCTTCTGACCAGTTCGGGAGAACCGGTAGCAGAAATTTTGAGTAGTTTGAAGAACCGGCAAATCCCACCTCTGGCTGGAGATTTTGCAGTATCACGCCCACCAAGCCACGCCCACCAAGCCACGCCCACAGAACCAGTAGTAAAAGAATTTGAATCCCACCAGTGCTGTGACTGCAAGCGGTTGCGACCCCAAGGACTGGTGGGGATGTTGCAACAGTCGTAAGTGCGAGGACCGGTCACAAGTCACTTTCCCACTATGAATGGTCATTAAATGAACGATCGCAAGTCGAGAACCAACCGGTCCTATTTGGAAGCAGGAGACTCAGAAAAGTGGAATCCTGGTTAAAAATACAAAAAACGAAAAGAAACCCCAGAAATGTATCCAGGCTAATGAAGCATTTAATCTGTATAATTGTTTTAAGTCTAGCACAGAATTTTGCTGGCCTCACTTAATGGCCCATTTTCCTCAGTGACTTTGCTTGTCAGAAACCGCCTGAGTAGGTCTCAAATAGCGACCACGTCATCCTGGAATCCTGCAACGGTCATAAGGGCGAGGACTGGCTTTTACCTCACATTTTCAGCGCTGTTGCTAACTTCCGTCCGTCACTAAACAAATAGCTGTAAAGTGTGGAATTACTTCCACGCACCTATTCTATTCTGGATCCCTCGCGAAACATCCTGAAAATTTGCAATTTGCCTGCTATTTATGAGCCAGCTGTGTGCGGCAGCAGCTGCCCCAAAATCCAGTGCAGTCCTGGGTTATATCAACAGAGGCACAGACTCAAGATCACCGCGAAGCGTTAGTACCGCTTTGTAAAGCCTTAGTAAGGCCACTCCTGGAATACGGCAACCAAGTTTTGTCACCTCCCTGCAAAAAAAGATGTTGAGCCTTTGGAAAAAGTGCAGAGAAGAGCAGCTAAGGCGACCAAAGGCCTGGAGGCTAAAACACGCGAAGCACCGGCTGCAGGTTGAGGGTTTGGCTAGTCGACGGAAAAGAGGAATTAGGGGTGACATGAATAGCAGGATTCCAGTGTTGGAGGGGCTGCCCCAAACAGGAGGATCAACCTGTCCTCCAAAGCTCCTGAAGGCAGGAAAAGGAACAAGGGATGGAAACTAAAAAAAGGAGAGAGGCAACCCGGAACTAGGGAGAAATTTTCTGACAGGGAGAACAATCAACGGATGGAACAGAAGTTGTGGGAGCTTCATCCCTGGAGGCTTTTAAGAAGAGAGACTGTCTGAACTGGGATAGGGTCTTCTGCTTGAACAGGGAGGGCTGGACTAGAAGATCTCTAACATCCCTTCCAGCTCTATTCTATTCTATATTTGTGCGTATGTCATCATCGAGGAACAATTCTACACAGCTTTCCCATTATCTGAAGCAGAGCCAAGCGCCTGCCCCGCACACAAACACAGCAAAACACGGCCAGTCCTCGACTTACGAGCACGAGCGAGCACCAAAATTCCCTTGGCTGGGCAAGATGGTTTTGTGAAAGGGATTTTGCAGAATTTTACCGCCTTTCTGGTCATTAAGCGAATCACCGCGGGCGTTAAATGAGTTGTTAAGTGAATCCCAGCAGTCATTAAGGCAGTCACAAATCCGGCTTCACTAGTCAGAAGAGATATCCACCAAAATGGACCCTGGGACACTTCGACGGTCGTAAACATGAATCGGTTATCAAGCGTCCGAATTTGGATCCTGTGACCCTGGGAGTGCTGTAAATGGGGAAAACTTTTTTCAGTGCCATTGTCAACTCATCAAACATTCCTGCGCCTCTTTTAGCAACTGCCATTTTTAAAAAAAGGGGGGGGGAAGGAACTCTGGAAGATCAGTGCAGCAGCTTGGAAGCGGAAGTACATTCCGACTCTTCTCTTTAAAAGATTGTAGCTAAACTACCAGAGCCTTTGCCCCCCAATATGTTTAATTGGAGAACGTGATTGATGACACCCAGCCTGTGAAGGTGCTCAATTGGAGGATCTGATTTATGACACACCCAGGGGGGAGGTGGGGAAACGGGGTCACAGGTGACTGTAAATGACGTAAGCCAGAGTTGGCTTCATCCAGGCCAGGGCCAGGATGTCGCCTCTAATGAATCCTTGGAAGGTTTTTGAAGTTTGGCTCGAGAATCATGATTTCATGAGGGCGATTGCGGGAATCCTGACAGCCGTTGTAACTTCAAACAGACACTAAACGAATGATCGCAAGTCGAGGACTACCGTAAAGCACTTCACCCATTAAAATAAATGGCTCATTTTCAGATCTCCTAATTCCTAACTGGGGGAGTCTAAGACTCGCCCAGAAGGCCAAGCTGCAAGCGTCGGCTGTCCGAAGTCCTGGGTCGCATCTCTGAAACAAGCTTTCTGCGCACTGGGTTCTCGAGAGAGATCGGATCAGGTCAGATTCCGGAGGCTGTTTTTTTCTTCGCCCTTTGCCGTAAAAACCTTTTGGGGGGATCCCCTCTGGACCTCCCTCATTTCAGGATTCGGAGACTCATCTTCCGTTCAATATTCAGCTTTTCCACCGACTGAAAAAAAACAAACAAACCCCAGAGAGATTTAGCAAAAACCTCCTGTGGATGGGAGTACGGGAGGTCCTCGTCTTATGACCACAATTAAGCACAACATTTTTGCTACTAAATGAGACAGTCGTTAAGTGACTTTTGCCCCGTGATACCACCTTTCTTGCTATATTTATAAATAAATCCCTGCAGTTGTTAAGTTAGTCACTCGGTCATTAAGTGAATCTGGCTTCCCCATTGACTTTGCAAAAGGGGATTATTTGACCCACAGGGACACTGCGCCCGTCGTAAATATGAACCAGTTGCCGAGCGTCTGAATTTGGATCACAGAGATGCTGTAAAGGTCATAACTCTGAAGAACAGCCATAAATCCCATTTTCCCCAGGGCTGTTGTAACTTTGAACAGTCACTAAACGAACTGTTGTGAGTCAAGGACTCCCTGGATTTAGCTTTAGAACAGGGTTGATCCAACCTTGACCACTTTTAAGACTTCTGGACTTCAACTCCCAGAATTCCCCAGTCAGCAAAGTGCACCGGTCTTCAATGAGGCCAAGGTTGGACAATCCAGCTTTAGGACTCTCTTTCCATGCAAATCTTTTCAAAAATAGGTGCAAAGTTTTCCCGCCACCATTCTGGGCGTCCAGTTCGCAGCTAAAAATGAGATTTTCTTGCTTTTTTGCTTTCAATAGTGGACTCTTTCTTCAAATTCTGCAGGAATGCCTGGGACCTTCCAGATGTTGTAATCCCAGCACATCTGGACAGCACCATGTTGGTCAAAGCCACCCAGTTATTAAGTGAGTTGCAACTGATCTCACCATATCTGTTTTTTGCCACAGTTCTTAAGTGACTCCCTGCAGCTCTTAAGTGAATCCTGTGGTCATTAAGTGCATCCAGGTTCCCCGGGTGGTTTGTGGGAAACCAGTTGGGAAGGTGGCAAACGGTGATCAGGTGACCCCCTGGGATGCGGCAACCATTATAAAGCCAGCACCCCAATTCTGATCATGTGATCGTGGGAACGGTCGTAAGTGCAAGGCAGTGGTGGGATGCAAATATTTTTACTATCAGTTCTGTGGGTGTGGCTGGGTAGGAGTGGCCATGTGAGTGGGTGGGAATGGCTTTTTTTTTTTTGGCAGCACCCCACCCCTGTGCTCTGTTTTTTGGGGCCTCCTGGTCCTTAGGGAAGCCTCCTGGACGAAGCAGTAAGACAGCATGTGGGATCCCGACAGCTGATTGTCAGAACAGCTGATCATCAAAACAGCTGATCCTTGCAAGAGCTGATTGTCAGAACAGCTGATTGTCAGAACAGCTGATTGTCAGAACTGCTGATCGTCAAAAATGCTGATCATTGCAAGAGCTGATTGTCGGAACAGCTGATCGTCAAAACAGCTGATTGTCAAAAAAGCTGATCAATGCAAGAGCTGATTGTCGGAACAGCTGATCGTCAAAACAGCTGATCCTTGCAAGAGCGGATTGTCGTAACAGCTGGCCACTGGAACAGCTGATCGTCAGAACAGCTGATCGTCAGAACAGCTGATCTTCAGCTAGGGGAAAAAGAAATATCAGTTTGGCTGAATCGGGTTGAACTGGTAGAATACCACCACTGGTGCAAGGACCTGTCATAAGTCCCTTTTTTCCCCAGTGGTGTAAGTTCAGTCATTAAAGAAACGGTCGTACGTTGAGGACTGTCTGTGGAGTGAAACTGCTGCCTCCCCCTTCCCAACCTGTCTGTATCCGCGTCCCCCCCATAATTGTCATTATTATTATTTTTGGGTCCAACCGACCTTGGCAAACTCCTCAAAGGAGATGGCGTTGTCTCCATCTCGGTCGGCCTCCTGGATTGTTCGGTCCGTGATATTCTCCAGCTGGTCGTTGGTCACCTGGAGGCCCACCATCATCCTCAGGACCTGGGTGTGAATAGAGACAGCCGAAGCTGAGTGCAGCCAGAGAGAGAGGGGTGTGTGTGCGTGCAAATCCCCACCTCTGGGCCATCCCCTGACGAAGGCCAAACTTGGATGTTACAGGGAAGGACCGATCCTCCGTTAAGAAGAGAGTCCACTCTGGCTTCAGGGACCACTTAAGCCGTTTACTGTTTTCCAAAGGGGTGGATTTGAACTCGGAACTGCCCCAACCTGTTTTTCCCTGGCAAAGGGAGGATAGAGCATGGCTGTTCACCACATGCCCAGCGCATGCTTTTTGCCAGAGGCCTCTGCACCAGTGTTTCTCAACCATCGCAACTTGAAAATAGGTAGACTTCAACTCCCAGAATTCCCCCAGCCAGCTTAGCTGCAATAATGTTGTTGGGAGGGACTTTGGAGGCCTTCTAGTCCAACCCCCCGCTCATGCAGGAGGAGACCCTATAACATTTCAGACAAGTGATTGGCCAGGCTCTCTTCTAAAAAAAACCCTCCACTGTTGGAGGATTTACAGCTTCTGGAGGCGAGCAGTTCCACTGGTGAATTGTCCTCCCTGTCATGAAATTCCTCCTTAGTTCTGGGTTGCTTCTCTCCTTGGTTAGTTTCCATCCGTTGCTTCTTGTCCTGCCCCCGGGAGCTTTGGAGAAGAGACCATCCAGCAATTAATTACCTGCAGCATTTCAGCCCGGGAGATCTTGCCATCCTTATCTTGGTCGTATAACTGAAAAGCAACTTTACCAGAATCAGAAAAAGCAAGAATTAGAATGAGGATGAGGACCAGAAGATTAAAGAGCTGGAAATATGATGCCAATTCTCACAAGACTGAGTCCTTCCTTCCTTCCTTCCTTCCTTCCTTCCTTCCTTCCTTCCTTCCTTCCTTCCTTCCTTCCCTTTATTCATTTGCATCCTGCCTTTATAATTTCTACAAATAATTCAAGGCAGCGAACATATTTAATACTCACACTTCAGCTTGCTAAGGTGGCTGTTGATGTCCTCGGGTTTGCCAGGTGCCTCCACTGGCCGGAAGTGAGCGAGCACGCGAGCAAAGGAGCGGAAGTCGGCCTCCTCACCCCTGGTGGAGAACAAGCCCCGGCATTTTTGTGGGTTATTCTGAGAGTATTTCTCATCCAGGGACATTACCGGATAAGAAGAATAAGGAAAGAAGGGAGTGACGTTTGCTGTCTGCAAGCAAGCTACTTGGATATAAACACTCCCTTCTAGCCCTGATGATGTTGCCTAGTTTGGTAGTGAAATGTCTGCAAGGAAATAACTACACTCAGAGAGCATCAAGGGCCGCACAGTCCTCCTCCTCCTCCCACTCTTCTTCCTTCTCCTCTTCCTCTGCTTCTTGCTTCTTCTATTCTCCTCCTCTTCCTCCTCTTTCCCCTCTTCTTCCTCCTTCTCTTTCTTCTGCTCCTCCTCTCTCCAACACCCTCTCTCTTCTAGCACTGATGATGTTCCCTAATTGGGTCATGAAATGTCTGCAAGAAAACCACCAAGCTCAGAGAGCACTTAGGACCCGTAGTCGTCGTCTCCTCCTCCTCCTCCTCCTCCTCCTCCTCCTCCTCCTCCTCCTCCTCCTCCTCCTCCTCCTCCTCCTCCTCCTTCTTCTC